CCGCGAACGCTGCAGCAGTTGGACCTGCATTTCAGACACGCATGTTGACTGTAAGGTGCAACACTCAGACATCCACCCAAAAAGGTGCAGACCAGATGTACTCTCCGGCAACCTCAGATCGTGTGCCTTTTTTGACAACAGGCAGCAGCTGGCGAAAGTCACCGCCAAAAACAACAACCTTTCCACCAAAGGGAACACCCTCGTACATAGGATCGACAGCACCCATGATATCACGTAATGCCTTGTCAACAGCCTGAAAATTGTACTTGCTACACATTACAGCTTCATCCCAAATAACTAAAGATGCTTGTTGTATGAGATGTGCGTGTGGACCACCAAGTCGAAGATTGCAAGTAGTAGTATCGTCTGCATTGATCGGTGTTTTAAAACGGCTGTGAGCTGTGCGACCACCGGGAAGCAGAATTGCAGCAATGCCAGAGGAAGCAACAGGCAGTGCAATCTGATCTCGCGAACGAACACGACTTCACAATGTCTTGAACAGCTGTGACTTGCCGGTACCTCTAGGGCCATTGACAAAGAAAAGATGTGGCTGGTTTTGGTTACCTGGTTCGTCAACTGCCTGCATTATTGTATTGAATGCATATCTTTGATTATCGTTAAGCATGGGGAACAATTCGTTGTGAGTTCGAGTTTGCTCTTTTGTGACATACTCCCCACGTTCGACTGCTTCTAAAGCAGTGAGCTGTGGAAGAGCATCAAGTTCGGTGACAAAGTCTTGCAGTAGATAAGGAACTAGGAAAGGCGGTGACCTGTGGATTGTAATTGTGTTTCAATGTCGCCAAGAGTACGCTGGAATACTTGGTCCCATTGATCAGGTACCAACTTGGTCTCATTATTCGGAAGTTAAACGTGCATTTCGAAAAAGTAATCGTCGCTCAATCTTTCGCAATGATTATCCCAGAGTCTGCGTGGATCAGAAGGCGAGCAGTTTGTAAGAATATAGACGAAGAGTTCTCGAAGCGCTGCAGCTGAAGGTGAATGGATAGATACCTCAGTCATGCAACGATCCCATTCGTCATCAGATTCCAACAAACCATGTGCGAGAGCGGCAGCTTCAAAGGATGGATGCACGACATCATTCAACGTTCTTAACGACTCAAAGCTGATAGGACCACGAACAGTAAGCAAGAGCAATCGAAGCGAATACAATGCCATATTAGACGGGGACGCAAAGTAGATACAAGAAACAACATTTTGAAAAGGTGGACGGGTGCGGTGGTTCCAGGTCTTCGTTCGCTTATCCCAAGTATAATGGCAAGGGATCTCAACATAAAGATATTGCCGAGCCTATTCATCTCAAGAACAGAGTTCGAAAAAAGCAGTAAGCTTTGTTCTCGATGTGTTGTTGTGTGCTACTGTAAGACCTATACACGAATCGTTTGCGTGGAAAGTAACAGATTACTGGTCAGGAAGATGCAGTTCTAAGCGGGACACATAAGGATGGTGCATATGGACCTGGTATTCGAAGGTTCGCCAAATTGCCTCGCAAGGACCAATATATCATGTGTTTTGATATTGTGTCACCTCATCTACTGCCTCGCGCTTAACATTGGCAGCAGTATTGGTATCGGCGCCAACGGGTGACCGTAAGAATTTACCCAGTGGCTTGGTGGCTTATAAGTGGCTTAAATCACGTGACATCCTAAAAAAGAAATAGAGTGGTAAATGGTTTTACCAGCGGCTAAATATTTTACTGGGCTACAGCACTGGCATAAATGTATGGTTTTATTTTTCAAAATGTTTGCATTGGTGAAGTGGTCTAACGCACTAGCCTTGTGTTAAGCCTTTGGTACAAAGCGCGAGTTCGAATCCCCCTTTTACCAAATTTTAATGTATTTTTTTTTGGAAAACTGGTTTTTGCTGTTATCCAATCAATTCTTGTTATTTTCATATAAATAAAATACCATCAGATGCAGCTTTTTTTCCTCGTTCCAATAGGTATAAAAACATATGATTTTATATAGTACGTCTATGGATGATCCCATTGCTTATACATTTATAGTATTATACTTTTTATATATCTATTTATAATGTAGTAGAATACTTTTTAGATATCTAAAAAATTTGAAAAGAGGATCTGTAGTAGTATAATGTATAGTAAACTTAAAACTATTTGTTTTATTTGAAACGAATGAGTATCTGATAAGATATGAGTACTTGATGATAGAAAATATCAGTAGTTGATAGATTATACTTCAGTGACAAAAATACTTTAATATACCCAAATTTAGATTGTGACTTTTTTTATGGAAAAAATCGGAGCTGAATTTGAATTATGTGACGTACATTTATAAGGTATAAATACAATATCTTTTTGAGATTTCTTTTTATTCTTTGGTCTTCCCAGTTTCCCCACGAGAAAAAAATAAACTGGACCCTTTACACTATTTACATCTACTACATCCACTGTTTCTCCTATCTATATCTAAATACCTTTATTCAAACACTTATACACATATACAACTACATCTCTATACATAAAACAAACTATTATTAGGTATTCTTATAAAGGAGAGTTAAGTATAAAAGTAAAGGTATTAACTAGTTTATTATAGTATGCCAATCTACAACAATATCCCTACACCTACTGAGCCTTACTTCTTAAATACTGAGGCTTGCATTCAGTATCTATATGAAGAAGGCATTTTTTACTGTAGTATGAAGTACCTTAACTGTGACCGGGATATGCCTCTTTCTTGGTCGAGAGGAGCAAATGGCACTTTCCGATGTACTAGCTGTAATTTGGAGCGGACTGTTCGGACTCATTCCTTTTTTCAATACCGGAATGTACCTCCACATGTTGTCTTACAAATTGGTTTAGAATTATTAATTAGTACTAGTGCTACTAATATTATTAATAAGACTAAACTAACTTGGGAAACAGTTCGCCAAATAAGATATGATTACTTTCAACTAATCATTGAAGATATGGAGAGTATATTCGAAGGTATGTATATTTCTCTTTCTACTTTAATTATTGTATTTTATAACTAATAATAAGATAGGTGAACCAATTGGTGGCCTAGGAACTATTGTGGAGATCGACGAATCGAAGTTTGGCAAAAGAAAGCTATCTGCCAATGGTATTAGTAGCCATGTTGAAGGTGTTTGGGTTTGGGGGGCAGTAGAACGTACACAAGAAAGACGTATCGTAATGGTGAATGTAGACAGGCGCAACCGCCCTACATTAGAACACTTGATCCAAAAGTATATCCTTCCTGGATCAATCATTTACTCTGATGGATGGGCAGCCTATAATACCCAACGGTTAGAGAGGATGGGTTATACCCATCATATGGTAAACAATGAGCTATATTTTGTTATCCCTGGTACACAGATCCATACTAACACTATTGAAGGTAACTCTTAAAAAAATATTCTCCTTTTATATATTATCTAATACTCTCTTTTAGGCAACTGGGGTGGGATAAAGCAGCTCATTACCTAGAACTATAGAACTAGAAAGCTAGTTAAAAAGCAGCTTTTTTGGTTTATTTGGCAAAGGCGGTTTGCTGATGATCTATGGAATCATTTTCTCCGTGTTATAAGGGAATCATATTTCATAGATCCTAGTGATCAGCAGCTACCTTTTGAGGGTAGTACTGATGATGCTGTTAGGGTCTTAGAACCTTTTTTGAAGTACCAGTAGAAGAAGGAGAAGATCTGGACCAAGAGGAGGGTAATATAGACCCTCTTAACCTTGAAGAGGAAAGAGAAGAAGTAGAAGAAGAACAAGAACAAGATGATGAAGAAGAGCAAGATGACGAAGAAGAAGAAGATCAACAGCAACAAGAACAGCAAAATAGGGCCCTTCTTAATCTGTAAAGACAAAGGGTCCTACAGCATATAGAGCATCGGGATGAAAGGAGACGGCAGCAAGAGCAGCAACAACAACAAGAACGTGAGCAACAACAACAACGACATAGACAACAACAACGCCAGTCACAACAGCAATCTGAGCAGCAAGAGCAAAGACAACAGCAACAGCACTTACAGATGCAGCAGCTTTTACAGCAACAACAACAGCAAATAACACAGCTGCAATCTGAACTGGAGCAAAAAGACCAACAGATCTAACAACAGCAACAGCTTTTACAGCAGCAATGGCAGTTGATTTCTCAGCTAAATCAGCTGTATATACAACAACATCAGCAACAAGCACAGCAAGTACAACAAGTACAACAAATAAGTAATAATAATATTATTACTATCATTAGTGATGAGGATCAAAATAGTAGTAATGAGGAAGTTAATATAGAAGATTAGCCTTATTTTCCTTCCCTTCTTCACTCTTTTCTCTACTTTTATTCTCTCTCTACTTATACTACCTTGCAAACCCTTTTCTATCTTATCTATTCTATATTTTACTCTTATATAAATATCACTCTATTATTTCTATTTATATATATTTATAGTAACATAAAAATAAGTAACACATTTTTTTACAAATCTGGCCTCCTTTCTAACTGAGATTATTGCTTATATGTGACTCTATATGTAATTTTTTTTTCCTACACTCTAGAAACGTTTAGGTAAGCCAGAAATGAGGTTTATATTTACTGGTCGCTGAGGGATTGGAACTCTTGATCTTCTGGGTCTAAAGCTGATGCCTTAACCACTTTCGCACCTACCTTTCTATATATGGTAGTCGAGGAAAAACAGTCACTTTTCGAGGAGAAGCAGTCACACGTCGAGGAAAAGCAGTCACACCGGGTAAATTCTTACAGTCACCCGGAAATGGTACATATCGATGATCCCTTCATCACATACGTTAGAAAAATTAACATGCAATAATAATATCTTGTAGGCCACAACCGAACCCAAAATCTAGCAGGGCAAAGAAAAGCCACCCATGCTCAAGTCGAAAAAACAATTCAATAACTATCTTGAAAAGCTTTCAGTGGGTCCACTTTTTGGTAAGCACGTTTTTAGAAAATCTTTGTACACGTACACCTAGATTTGTTACTAACAGGACAAACATGATAACAGGCTTCGAGCTTCATCCCGACTCTAGCACAGTGCTGAAAAAAAACAGCCACTTTCGTTTCCATTGTAATATTATTTCGCCTGTGGAAACTGATACACCGTATGACGCGTTTCACGGTTTAAGAAGAGCAAACGAAGAGCTTGAGCTGCTGAAGGTGAGAACTGTGATGAAAGATTAGTTATATAATGTTGTTTTTAATATGCAAACAACAACAAAAAAGGACGAAGCCTCTTCAGTGATCAAGTTCAGCTATAACATTATAAGTAAGCTTCAAGAGGCCATTGCATCTGTGCCCGAAACTATACGAGCACCTTCGAACGCAGAATCTTGGCAAGGAAAGCAAGGCATGAGTAAGCTTTGGAAGGAAAAGTTAGAGCGCGCAGAGGCGTGGATGGAAGAGCAGCAACGACTTCTAGGCAGAATTGCCAATGGATCAGCTTCCATTGATGCTGATATGTTGTCCAGAGGTGCGTCAGTAGTGGTACGAGGTGTTCAGCAGGATGACGAAGAAGGTAGACAGGAGACGGAAGAATTAGCGCCTGACATAGAGGCAGAGAATGACGACGACGACGAGGAGTTGATCGACGATAATGACGACATACTCATGAACATGTTTCCTGTGGATGAAATCCCGGTATAGAAATCAAGTAAACTTTTTCAACAAGAAAGATCAGCAGAGACTACTGTTATTATGTTAGATATTTCATGAAAGGTTAAACCGATTAAAGCTCGCCACTCCATCTGCAACCAACGTAGTAATCGGTGCATTTACATCACTGTTAAAAGCAAGCTGTATAGGCACTACATACCGCTTACACATGTAAGTGTGCAATCTATACTAAGATGTAGAGCTCATATCAGATTGTTTAGATATCAGAAGAAAGGCTATAGTAAGATCATTGAGCTTTATTCCAAATTTTGGCACTATCTACTACTGATAGTTTGAAGAAATTGACATTTCATGAACTGAGTACATAAGCGTTTTTAGATATGTACAGTTTGTTATTTAAAGTTCCTTCAGGGCAGGAGCACACCATTAGGTGATCTGTTTATAGGACTGAGAAGTTAAGTGGGATAACAGGAACTCGCACCAAAGCATAAAAGATCGCAGCAATCAGATTATCTTCTTCAGTACCCCTTGTTTAAGTACATATTGAAGTCGATAACCGTAAAAATGTACACATAGTCATAACATGAACATAACGCTATGCATGTACGAACTAGTTCGCCATAGAATGCACATTGCCTTTGCAGTCTTTCTTATGTTCATCTTTACCTACAATGTTTAGTTCTTGCCTTATATCCCTTTTCATATATCAACTTGATCATTCTATATACGATATACCAACCTAGCAATAGATGGCTGCAGTAGCGATAAGAAGAATAATAAAGCCTATAACTAAAATATAAAATCTTTCGCTCTTTTTTCTACTTCCTCAATTATCGTCGTCATCACTATACTCCCTACTCTGTCCGTCACCACTGCTGCTACTGTCTTTACTAGACACACCATGTTCTTCAGTACTACTACTACTATCTTGCTCTGTCTCTTCTTCATCTCCTCTGGCTCCTTCTTCTGCGTCTGAATCTGGGCTTTGCTTGCTAAGGAGTCTCGCTCACTCTCGTACTCTTGGCTCATATCTTGCATAAACTAACGACGAGTCGTCGCCGTCATCATCAGTAATATTACCACGCTCTATGCCGCAGCCGACATTGACGCGCTCTAGCAACAGGCATCCAATCCAGCGGAATGCACGGAACATTGGGCCATAGTTGACAAGGAACTTAGGTGCCTTCTTTTTCAGTGCAATTCTGACCGCGTCGTTAACGACCAAGGCTTCAGTGGGCGATAGCCGGTCGTAGGCACTGCACGCATTCTCCATTATCATGTTCCCAAAGAAGTGTTTGTACGTCGGGTTAAAGAACGACCGTCCATCAAAGGCACAAATGCTGTAAGTGGCATACTTCCAGCAATCGCCAAAGTTTTCATGACTTTCCATAATTGTTGGATCGACATATTAAAACATTTGAAGGTATCTGTGAAGCTGTTTATCTGCACTAACCAAGCAATTGAGCTGGTACAGATGTTTCTTCGTAGCTTTATTCTGGGTTTTGCTTTTAGATCTTTGTGCGTTGGTGCAAGCGTGCTTTTTATCATTCTCTCACTTGTTTAGAATTCGCATCGCTCGTGATACTGTCCTTTTTGGTCCAGGCTTGACAGGCCTGAATCGCACCTTATAGACATCAACCAGGTGCTGCTTATAAGTGTTATCCGCCGTAAACTGTGTGGAACACTTGATGCAGTAGTTGTACAGCAGGTATCACGTTGGCCTGTATTTGTCGGAGTACCACGTTTCCGTTGGCATACCAGGTGTCATGGAGGCGCGGCGCAGGCGACACTGAGGCAACGTGGGCTGGGGTAGGGGTGGCAAGGGTGGAGTATTGAAAGTGGAGTCGTTGAGCGCTTTCATGTTACTGCTTATACATTAGCAATCAATAACATTATAAGTCATTCTTTATACTAATTGTCAGGATAAACATATGTAGGAACAGTAGCGGAGGACATAGCTTCGACTTTCAGCAGGGAATGCGATATAAAGGATTGAGAAGGATATCAGCTCCTAAACGAAAACGCTGATTAAATAACAAAAGTCTGTACCAGCTCCGAATGAAAGCTACAAACTTTGTTCACGCTTATCATATCCTTTTTCGGAAAATGAAAGAAAACCGTACCGATTCATCGTAAGAATGTAAGTATCTGGCTCAACCTGTTTGTCGATGTGAAACGAAACGAAGAGATAGCAATATATAAAAAATAAGGAGTCTAGTAAAATACAGTCAATGGTAATTTACAATGTATAATGGTAGTTAGTGCGATACAATACATATACCTATCTGTTCACCAGTTTTGTCCAAGCCAGAAGCGTCTGGCATGGTTGCAACTTAGACAGCTGCATCCTCTTCCGTTGCAACCGGAACACGCCTTTTTCGACACTGTAGCCTGAGCTGTTAGATGTTACTACTAAGCACCATCATTCATATGTATCGCATACTCTGTGATAGTACTTTTATTCATACTTATTGTCCTCCAGTTTTTTAACATATCACTTTACCAAACAGGATCAAACTTGAGCGGCTTTGTCCTATATTAGATGCAGTATTCGCCTAGTCATTTTTCTTTTCATTAATAAACTTTACAGTATTTAATTCATCATACTTTCATTCCTAGTAGGTAGGTAGACGTTGATATGTTTGTATATAGATATAATCAATTTATGAGGCAAAGTCTCTTAGACAGTAAGTAGGTACGATTATTAGTATGGCACTCTCTTTCAGATATATATTGTCATTTTATTTAGTCAATTCAGTGGATTTTTCTTTACAATCGGTGTTAGTGATACTATCAACTATAGTCATAATAGTGTTGTAGAATTTCACAATGGGTATGATACTGCAAGTGAACTATATTGAGTATTTTAATGAAACCAATATTATTTTTATGTTTTGTCAATAAGATGCCTTGACCGCTCCGTTGCTTATATTACATATTCATTGTTTTCCTTTATAACAAAATCCTTGCGCAACTTCAAGCAGCTTATTTCAGTCGATCCAAAAACTTCTGATGTAATGTGAGCGCTATATATGCAGTAATCTAGTACTTAACTAAGTTTCAAACATTTTCCTTAAGCTACAGTATTAGATACAATTTGTTGCTAGAATCGTAGACCTTTTGCATAAATTGAGGAAAAGATCATTATAGATGTTTTAAAAAGTTTCAAGTCGACTGAAACGATGTCTATTAGCTATATACAGTATGTAGTATGGTAGGTTTGTTTCCTGCTATTGCTTTGGCTTATATTCGAGACACAACTGCCATAGAATCACAACTATGCATGTCTATCTGTCCTAGTTGCAACTATGACAGATCGGTTTACTAGGTTGAAACTCAGTAAAACTATATGTCTATCTGTCCCAATTGCAACTATGACAGATCGGTTTACCAGGTTGCAACTCATTAAAACTACAACATCTGTTATGGTTTCTAAGTAGGTTAAACTATCTGTCATGTTTTCCATTCAAGTATACACTATAGGAAAATTCTTGTGGTTTTTGTGGATTCTTGTGATTAAACAGTACTCTCTTGTTATAACCACCTGGCTAACCAGGGTGACAAATACTTTTATATTACCGCAAAAGTTTTTTTTCTTTCTTTTCTTCCCAAACACTAACCAAACACCTCCCAATGCTAACCTTAATCTCCTAAGTCTTCACTCGTATGGAGCATCGTCTTATTAATGTAGAGACAAATCAAGCAGTCATTGAGTATCAATCTATAACAATTAATTTAGCAATAAATTGCTAATTAATTTTAGTTAAGGATTTTACTGTCAAGCTAGCCTTCGTCTAGGTATTCCTCGGCTAGAGAAGGGACTTGCTCACTACCGTTTCTGCCACCATAAGTGTTAAATTAAACATAAAGGGTTTAAACAGATTTATACAAAACCTTAACTATTTAAAGAATTAAAAAAAAAATAAAAAAGAAATACCTTAAGTGTTTCAAAAATAAAAAAATTATAATCTAATTTTTTATTTTTTTCTACATATGTTTAAACAATGATATACGCTTAATTAATAAAACCTTTTTTGATTTATAGATAGGGATTAACACCCATTCTGGAGAAGCTCGACCAACTGCTAATGGTGTAGTCCCTAGTCGAGGTACCAGTTTTCGATGAAGCAGAACTTGCTGAGACAGTTTCCGTCATTCCCCACCCAATGACTCTAAATGCCAAGGGGAAGATGGTAAGAAAGCGAGCAAGGATGATGTTGAGCGCCTTCTCCTTCCAGGCTACCACCATTTTGAAGGAGGTGCCTTGATCAAAGCCCAGACCGACATCAAGCACATTAGCGAACATGTTGTGGTCGATCTGGTGAAAGATTGCAGAATCGTACTGACAACAGTGTGACCCACTACTTGTGGGCAGCTCGCCATATCCTCTAGGAATGCTAGAATAACTACGGCAGATCCAGCAAGTCGAGAGCGGTTTCTAGGTATGATAACTACTACACTAGAGCAACCACAATCAAATATATACTAACTATCAGGGAGACAACAAGAACCGGCTTCTGCTCTTCATGTCTCTGCTTCTCTTCCTGTTTCCGCTTCTGTTTTTCTTCCTGCCCCTGCCCCTGCCTAGTCAACGTAGTCTACAAAATGACACTGTATGACAAAGCGGCTCGGGGCTGCTCCCCCCACAAAAATATACATAATTAAAAGGTAAGTTAAAGTATCAGAAAGTTCGATTATTGTATAAACACACATATACACGTATATATATAGCGAGAGTGTATGTGATATATATAGAGAGAGAAAGGATGGTTTTCATTTGTATATGCTCAGCCAGTATTCCATCAATCAATAAACCTTAGCTAGTATCATGTAATTGAATAAAGCTATTTTTTAAAAATCTATATAATGAATATTCCATAAAAATGTTTTGTGATTTTCTTATGAGCGTGTGACCGCTTTAGTATTCCACAAAGCGTTTTGTAATTTTCTTGTGAACGTGTGACCGCTTTATCACTACTTTAATTCACAAGAATCCACAAGAATTTTTGTCACTTTACTTAGTGTTACAAGAATTGTAGATCCACAGGAATTTTCCTACAGTGATAACAAATCGCTTCAGCATCCGCTATTTTTAGATGCGAGTAGATAATTGATGCTTATATATCATTTCTGAATATACTTATTTGTATTGGAGATAGGTACATTCATCTGTTTTACTAGTTGCAACCTAACAGACAGATGGGCTAGGTTGCAACTGATTAAGCAAAGTCTTTTGCTACGCTTTCAATCGGACGTATATAGCTATCTTGATATGGCCTCAACCCAAGTGTAAAGAAGATTGTAATATCGTTTTTGTATCTCCTGTGCTTTTTGTATATTGCTGTATACTTTTCCATGTAGTATCGGCAGATAATGGTTGAGGTATGTGAGCCATGCTTCTGTTGTGTGTATTTTAGTGGCTGGAAGTTGCAATTCTGCTGTTGTTGGGAGGATTGGTTGCCTGCCGAACATGATCTCAAAAGGCGATTTTCCCATTGATGCGTGTTTGCTGGTATTTTTCGCAAATGTGACAAACGGCAGGTAATGATTCCAAGTTGATGGTGCCTTTTCTGCGTAGATTGCCAGTGAGCCCTTGATAGTTTTGTTCATCCGCTCGACTAGTCCGTCTCCTTGAGGCCATTCTGCACTGGTTGTCGGTCGAGATATGCCGAGGCGAGCACATACTGTTTGCATAGCTTCCGTGATAAAATTGCTGCCATTATCTGTAATCCATTTTTTCGGCATTGAAAATTTGGCTACACAACAATTTCCGCTAATCTTGGATGATCAACAACAAATCCGTCAATTTGACATGACCCAAGCCCTATGGGATGCCGAAATAAATATTCCACTACCCCAGCTGTTATACTATGCACCGAGCTTAAGACAAGATGCCATCCAATAAATGGGAGCATCAATACCTACACATCACAAAAGGCAATCGCAAAAGACGATTCTTGGTATCAACTTGGCGCAAGCATTGGACACAACCTCATGTCAAGACATGCGTCAATTACAAGCTATTTGGGCATCATTGGTGAGGAACAGGTCGAAGCACTAGTTGACGGAGGTGCACACGCCTCGATTGTACCTATGGCGATAGTCGTTAAGGTGGGTATGCAGGACCGTATGCGACCAACAGACCAGTGGATCAAGTTCGGCGGTGGTGACCTAGAAAGGCCAGTGGGCTCCTTGGAAATTGAAATCACACTAGCCAAAGATCTAGCGATCCTTCATCGCTTTCTGGTGGTCAAGAGCCTATATACTCCATTAATCCTTGGACATAATTTCCTGTATCATACTCGGGCGTTGGTTGATCTGTATCAGCAAGTCCTTGTGTTCCGATCATTGACGGCGGATGGAACATTGATGCCCACAAGCGAGATACCGACGCATTGGGGCTTTGGCCACCCAGCTTGTCAAGAAGTGCGGAGAGAGGTTGATAACCACTAAGAGACCACAGGTGAAGAGGGTGCATCACAAAGTTGGCCGTGTATGCTCACATGGAACCGGTACGCAAGGCTAATGCCACTAGACGTATGGTGGCCTTGAAGTCGGATCTGGTACTAGACAAGGGTGAGGTCATGGCAGCCAGACTGCAAATCCGTCCTAAACGAGATGAAATCGGCGAGCACGTGGTATTGGAGACAACCCTGACCGGACGTGATGACATCATATTATGACCGGCCAAGGTCAACAACGATGGCTCATCAATGCTGTTTATTGCCAACTGCAGCTCGGATCGCATTGGGATCAAGGCTGGTGACATCATTGGCACAGCTAAGGCCATGATTTCGTTGCCTCCGCAGCCGCGTACAGAAGATATCGAGCATGTTATGCAACAACTAAGAGCAAGTCCAGTGGACTAGCTAAATTTTCCTCTATTTTCACTACTCGCTATCCCAATTATTCTTTTTGGCGAGTCAATTTTTACAGCGGACTAGCTATTACTACCGACTAGTAATAGCAGACTTAAATTGTGTGATTGTCTTTTTGCGTTCCTGCATATTTGTTTGTTTCCTGCTTTCTCTCTCCTATATTATATTAAATATGCCTAACTTGACACGCCTCATGAACCTTATTGTTGACGAAGAAGAAGAAGAGCAGCGTCGCATCGCTGTGTTCAAACGTTGTATGGAAGAGATCGACCATATGATCCAACAGGAGTATGCGATAAAGAAGAAGCATCGTGGATCTGTCCCTGGCCGTCAAACGACTCACCGAGATCGCATCGCAATGGATACACGTCTGTTCAAAGACTATTTTGCCGAAGATCCAGTGTATCTGGCGCATATGTTCAGAAACCGGTATCGAATGGATCGAGACCTGCTGTTGCACGTGATGGAGGGTGTGAAGCAGCAGGACGATTATTTCGTCCAGAAACGCGAGGCCGCTCACAAACTCGGCCTCTCGTCGTATCAAAAAATTACTTCAGTGATGAGACAACTCGCGTATGGTGTCCCAGCAGATGCAACTGACGAGTATGTGCGCACGGGCAAGTCGACAGCGCCCGAATGCCTCAAACGGTTCTGCGCTGCAGTTATTGCTGCTTTTGGCAAGGAGTACTTGTGCACGCCAAATGAGGATGATATCCACAAGATCTTGGCCTTCAATGTGAAGCGTAACTTTCCAGGCATGCTCGGCTCAGTGGACTGTATGCATTGGAGATGGAAAAACTGCCCCACCACATGGCACAGGTAGTATTCTGGCAAGGAGAAGGCACCCACTGTGGTATTGGAAGCTGCTGCCACTCATGACTTGTGGATCTGGCATGTCTTTTTTGGGTGCCCCGGCACATTGAATGACATCAATGTGCTCGAGCAATCGCACCTCTTTACCGATCTTGCTGCTGGACGTGCGCCACTAGTGAATGTTTCCATCAACGGCCACGAGTACAACATGGGGTACTATCTGGCCGATGGAATCTACTCTCGCTGGGCGACGCTGATCAAGCCCCTTTCGAACCTGCATGGAAAAAAACAATAGGTATGGAAAAAATTCCTTATTCTTTTACTCATGATAAATGATAGTTCTATAGAAGGACAATGGCTAGTTGAAGGCTGCTTTCTGTGGAGCATATCTACGATCATTGGTGTTTATTTAAAATGAAGACATTAACATCAATATGGAAAGAGAATGAGTGAACAATATTGTAGAGATCATGCTTTTTTCTCTTACTAATTTGAATATTCGCAATATAGCTTTTTCAAACAATGCAAGAGGCAGCACGAAAGGACATTAAACGAGCTTTTGGTGTCCTACAAGCTCGGTACAAGATTGTCAACGAACTGGCTCGATTGTGGAAGCTGGAAGAACTCACCATAATCATGAAGACATGTGTGATTCTTCATAACATGACAGTCGAAAACGATCCGGATGTCTCGCGAACATTGCATGAATGGAGATACTCACAAGAAGTCTTCGATCAAGCGAGAGAACATCCATCCATCTTGCAAGATTTCATCCGACGTCACAAAGAAATTAGGGATGTAAACACGCATGATCGTTTGAGACATGATCTCATGGAACATCTTTGGCAAATGGAAGGTGAACGGGATACATAAACCCTACTTCCATCCCCACCCTTTTCTCTCCTTTTCCCTCTTTCCTTTTCTTCCTTTCGTTTTTTGTTTTCTTAACCTCCATCTGAACTTCTTTTCTTTAAAAAACATCGCTTTATTCTTCTCCTTACTCTTCTTCTTCATCGCTTTCTTCTACTTCCAGTTCTTCTTACTGTTGTTGTTGTTGTTGTTGTTGCTCACCAACAACGCGGGCCAAAATCCGAGCCTTCATAGCCGTGAAGTAGGCACGGGCGAGGTCGTCCATGCCATCCATGGGAGTCGCCATGATCTCCTGGTCAGCTATTTGAGCAGAGCACAGATCGTTCTCGTGAGAGAGCGAGCTGCTCACGCTCAATAGCCAACGACTCGGCACGCATCTTCTCCCACTGGTTGTTGTCGGTGGCCTGGCGCTTAGCCTGTTTGCGGCCAATCGGTCAGCTATGGCCATCGTCGTCATCGTCAACGTCGTCGTTTTCCTCGCCATCACTGCCATTGGTAGTGGCAGCAGCAGGTCTTCTTCTTCTTCTTATACTTCTTTCGGTCTGGCTGCGCCACTTTTCTGCATACCAGAGAACCTTCCAGCAGTGTTCCAGTTTGAAGCCACTGCTGCCGTGCTTCTGCCGGTACAGGCTCTTGGCTGCTGCAATCTTCAGGTAAAATAAGATTATATTGATAGTAAGGAGATGATTTCTTTATTTAGCATTACGTACAATAAAAACAGAAACACTTCAAGAGTACTAGTTACTATAAATTTACCTGGTCATCTGGGGTCGTGCCACTGGCATTTACTCTTTCGATTTGAGCTAAGCAAGCACAGAACTTTGAAACTTTGTGTTGAATGACACCCCAACGGTTCATCAACGCGCCAGCGTTGCGCTCGACAGCGTTGTTGGCATCCTGGCGGCGAGACCCGAATTCAGAGTGGATTCGATCCCATAGACGCGAGGCAGTCTGGTCGCTCCCGTCGATAGGATCGACTGAGACGTTGAGCCACGAGGCGCACAAATCTTCGTCCTCGTCTTCCGTCCAGTTACGACCACGGGTGGTAGGGGGACAGGAAGTAGAGTTAATAGTGGTGGTTGGTAAGGAGGAGGAGGAGGAGGCTTCCGAAGATGAGGGAAGGGACTCGCGAGGGGTGTTGTTGTTGTTGTTGCTCATTTTACACAGGAAAAAAAGATTGACGGAAGAACAGAAAGATCACAAGAAGATTTTTTAGCGAGTCTATCAAAGTCTGTCAACTTTGACAGACAATGTGTCCGACAATAGCTATCCTTTAATTTCACTAGTTATTTTGGCGAGTCCGCTGGAGTGTCAACTAGCTATAATTTTCTGTTAAATTTAGCGAAATCGGTGATTTAGCGAGTCCGCTGGACTTGCTCTAAGCGATTTAATTTGCACCCTAAAAGGAATAGTCCGTCAGCAACAAAGGATCCGGTTTTCTATTGTGCAGAAGCAGAGAACGTAGTGTCGGTTTTCATGGCTACACATGAGGTTCCCACTACAGCGTCGCAGTCCTATGACATTTGTGCCGACCTCACACCTCATCAACAAGCTCAAGTCCAGCACGTGCTCGACAAACATAAAGATCGATTTACTAGCACTCTCGCCGAAGTTGGCACCTTAGCTGTGCCACTGTATGAACTTCAGTTGAAGCCCGATGCTAAACCGGTCAAAGTCGCTCTATATGCGGTACCGCATGAAGCTAATCAATGGCTGAAACAGTACCTCTTTGAGCTGGAGGAGCTAGACTTCATCGAACGAAGCAGTGGTCCATGGGCAGCTGGTGTCGTGTTGATCCCTTCGGATATAGACAAGCGGGCCCCGTGGATTTGAAAGAAAGCGAAACCATTGGCCAAGATCCTGTAGATCAAGACAACAAAACTGGGCGACCTGTGGAAGTTTGGGCGTTAC